TCGGGGCCAACACCTATTTTTAGAAAAAGACTTATGAGTATCTCCCGTATTCAACCGACTCATGACAACACATGCACAAATCTACTATCTACCATTACATTAATGTACCCCAACTACTATTACGGATTCGTCATCGACTGAATCACGGGACCGTCATCACGACAGACTGATCCTGACCGTCATCACGACAGACTGGTCGTTAAGTCATCACGACAGACTTAATAGGAGTCATCACACAGACTCAATAGGAGTCATCACGACAGACTCAATATAACTCTTTGGTCGCTAGGTGTATGGTCAGACGTGCTGAGTTTAACGATTGTTACAAAAAGACAGTCCAGGAACCGGGATATCACGCTGACCAAGGGCCGTTGTGTCAATACCCCAAATCTCCGACATTACCCCTGAATCAGAGGTAACCGAGCAATATGACTATCATTAAAGTAACAATCCCTTCACATATCCTGCCATGAGATACATTCAGACTCCAACGATTGCCAAGTGAAGATAGTTAAGCGGTCATTAAGACCAAGGATGCCACTTCGACCAAAGGCCATCGTGTCAACATCCAAAGCGCTCCGACATTTCCCCTGGTAGAGGAAACCGAGCAGTAAGTAACATAACTACCTCAACCCAGCAAACGGGCTCCGAAAGTCCCATAACAACCCCCAGAACCTGGAGGCGTCCCACCTGCGGATATTCAATAACAAGTCGTAAGCCATAAGTTAAATTATGAAGGTAAAAAGTATAGCATCTTTATAAACATGGCTTAAGACATTCATGATCATGAATATAAAACTATTATGGTTATCAATCCATGCAGTACAGTAGAATAAAGGAAACACTCAGTGATAGCTCACCTTTCAGGTAACTAAAACACCACACCCAATAGCACATCAACACCGTAATGAAGTTCACTCTACTTGGTCTGAGAAGCGATGTGATCCACGCGATAATTAAATGTATCTACGCCAGACTAACAAAGTTTATCCTGGGAGCAGGTACCCAGCGAAGGAATGGAATGTATAATGTAAACAGGCGTAAGGGCTGTCGCGTTGAGTCACACTAAGCTGCCTTGTGTAACTTCTGGAAAGTTTTCATGTGCTACAGGGTTGGACTCACATGCAAAAAATAAAAAAAAGTGTTTGAGATATTTCGTAAGCTTACAATCATAATCAGTGCAATTTTCATTTTCTTTAAAAAAGGCAAATAGACCTATCCAAAGTTCTGTGCATTCGCTAATTGTACAGTCATCTCGTTGAATCTTATCTAGGGCAATTGCTATTTGTTTTAACTTCACTAAATAGTCCTGGGCATTTATTTTTAATTTTTTTCTAAGATATGAATATCAATAGCAGCTCGGTTTTCTAAACAAAGTTTTGATAATATATGCCAGTTCTCTAGATAAGACTCACTAGAGTCAGCTAAAGTGTTCCATCTAACATCTTGTGGAATCACAAGGGCTTTTCCGCCAGATATTTTATATTTGCCTGCTACGAAATGTACATTTCTAAAGTACTTTATTATCTTCTTTATGTGTTCTTTCAAAGTGGGCACCTGAATATTTTGTGCAAATAAATTTCATTTGTGTGCAGAACACACATAGGTAAGTATATCAGCTAGACATAGTAATATTTGCAGCATTATCTGTCACAACACTTCTGGCAGTACAATTATAATCTGTGTAACAACGCCTTATAGACTCCACTAATAAATTTAACAAGTATTCAGAAGTATGACTTTTGTCTTCAGTGTCAACAGTGTCAATTAGATATACTTTACCTTCTTGAATATCATTTACGGACACACACTATTTAATCATTTCTAATATTGATTTAACCATCAACAGACATGCATAGTGATTTATTGCCTAATTACTTTTTCATTTCAACTTGTGATGTTGTGTATACGTTACTAAGAAGTTCATTTCCTATTTGGTGGCTGAAATCCTGGGCGCAACATTTCCATTAGCGGCTTAAACTCGGGGTGTTCCACTGCTCTAAAAGCACAGTTTGTGGGATAAACAAAACGTGCTACTTGGATATCAATTTTTTTCTTCTCGCTACATGTTGTTTTGACAACGAATGAATCCAGTCGCGATTTTGCTGGACATCGTCTCTATCTCCTTGTCTTCTCGTGAATAGCGAAAAACTGGATAACGCTGAGCTGGAAGCTCTTATAACATTGCTGTTAGTGTAGTAGGTCTGCGACGAGCCATCTAAAAAATAAAGTATACATACCTATTTAATAATTGTAATATCTAAAAATTCAATGCGATTGATTAACAGAAATTTGCTTGTACAAAACAAAAAGTATATACCGAGCCTTAATAGGAACCTGTTTTATTATTAATTCTTATGTATTTAACATTTAAACAAAATTAATAGCAATTAGGTAGGTATTTCTTACCTTTTTCACAATTCTTCAAGTTACTTAACTTTAAGGAAATAGGTTCGGTAGAAACATCATCATTGTCGATATAAGAACTATTTGATATATGAATATTTGTTTTTCTAACAAACTTCCTTGTTTAAGTTGTGGCACTATATCCATATTATAGGTTAAACGTTTTGCTCTTTTATTTAGTTTCGAGCCAGCTTTGGCATCAGTCTCCCTAAAATATTTCAGCTCCGGCGTTATCAACTGCATTGCCAATTGTTTGATCAAGTTATATCGCGAAATCTCCGTGTTATCTCGAAAAAATGTTTGGAGGATATAGGCATTCACTGATGCAATATCAACCATCCTACAAAATATGGCCATAGGCAGGCGACGAGTCCTCCTGCTACATGAGTAAACGGTACATTTTTCATCGAGTGCGTCAACTACCTAATTTTGTCAAATTATAGTGGGCGTATTATTTCTGGTTTCCCTGTTTCAGGATCCGTAGACTCATTATGGTGCATCGATGAAATCAGCACCACAGCTTTATTCTTTTTTTGAGTATAAGACAGTAACGTCATATCTTTTGTGTAGCCATATATGGGTGATCCGACCTGTCTACTTTTTTGAGGAAGAAATTGGACTGGTATCTCCTTCTTGATGTTTTTTCAGTGTCCCTACGTAGGTCAATGCCTTTGTTTTTAGTAAATTGACTGCTTCTATTGAGGAGAACCAGTTATCAGCCGTTATATTTCTATTTGTACCATATAACGGCTTTGCGAGGTGGATAATTGCTTGGGTTGGTTTGGAAAATTTCCGAAATCGCAGCAAGTGGATCTGTTTGTTTTCGTTCAGCACGGGTTTTCCTATCATCAAACCGAAAACAAGCAAGAATCATTGCAAACCTATTTGAATTTGTTACGCAACGAAAAATGTCCCTACCAGGACCATCTGTGGCAAATATAGATCTAATGTCTTCATTATTGGATTTGAAAATAGAAGTCATCAGAAGAGTTCCTAGGAAGTTTTGCAATTCTATAATATCCATATCGCGAAGATCGTTGGTATCTTTCCTAAATTTTGTACGAAACTGTGCTAAACTAAAATGTCACTCGTGAACAACATATTCCACGTAGTCATTGGATCGGATGCTGTCGCGGCTATATTTTTTAGTCCTGGGCATTCCAAGATAATATTATGTTTCAAGGTTCTGGTATTTGTTACAAAAGCAGGACTGGAAGACCACTTGAAGCGGTTTTTTGCCATAATAATATCTTGATGTGTTATTTTCACTTGACCTCTCCTCACCAGATGGATTTGATACATCCGATTCACGTGTCATATCAATGCCTTCATTATAATTTATATCAATTTCACTTTCACTATCATGCTCGCTCAAAATGAAATCGCTGTCAGCCACGTCATCGTCCTCATCAGCAGAATTGCAGGAATCAACCTCCTCAAACCAGTTTAAAACAGTTTCCTCGAAATTTGGGTCCGTGTACTTCACTCGTTTTGGAGAACCAGGTAAATTTCCATACCAAAAACCTAACAAAATAATCATAAATTATAAATATTCATCTTGTAAACAAAATTCCTCTTACACAGATCTGACGTCTTACAGATACCCGCCAACATAAAATCACTCGCAAAAACTGTAACATGTATCTATCAACCGCAAACGAACACAGTCAGTTTAGCACTGAAATCCACGAAGGTATATAGCGTCTCATCCGCGTAGATAGGCGGAGGGGGAAGTACCCAAACAATTGAAAAGTTCAGGTGTCTCAGAGACGGGTTAAATTAGAAATGTGCTCTGATAGAGCTGGATCAAAAATGGTAATAACACTTTCAAGGAACTTCATTAACGTTGCTAGATTATTTAGGCAATCGTTTTTTATTTTTTTTACCGTTTTAAACATGTATTAACAGTGTTTTAAACACATTTTTTGTTTCAATCCTGACACCAATGCATTGAAAGTTCATTTATGCGTCAAAAATCAGCTTCTTCGCAACGTAAAATGATATCATTTGTTTTACAAAACCTACCTTTATTCCATCGAAGCGAATAAACAGACTATTCAACTTAAGTTGTCTCCATCATATCTTTTGCTATACTTACACAAATCATTTTGTGAAGAAGAGAAACAAAAACGCTTTAAAAATAGATTTTATTTTTCCATAAACATTTAAAGAAACCAAAAATATATTTGAAACAAAATTTTAATTAGCCCTCGAATAAACTCACAATTATGTTTTGGGGCGTTGGGCCAACTTGACTAAGACACGGCTCGTAATCTGATACCGCACCAGTTTACAGCGCAGCTGAAGCCCGTCTGCCGTCCTACTTACGAGTGCTGATTATTATGAAGCGAAGCTTTTTGGTTAGAGCCGTAAAACATATTTTTTGTAATGATGCTCAACATTTCTTTGCTTCATTAAAGGAGGTTGGATATGGAGTTTAATAATATAATAGTTATAATACTCGTAATAATAAATTGCGTTTATTCGATTCTTTTACATAATATGTCCAACATACAGCAATAGGCATTGATAAGGTCACCTTGTCTGTTTTCTCTCAATAGGCTCATCATTAATATACAGTGATTATGTTTCAGACACTGAGGATATTAAGGTCAGCAAGGAAGACAGGATAAAATCAAAAGCAACATTAGTGTTGACTATCTCTGATGCAAGCAAATGGGAGGTTAGTTATTGCTATATGTTTAACATAAAATGATATTCATTGACTTCTCTACCATTGGTTTCTATCCGATGATTTAAGTATTGTGGCCTTCCCCTCAATTTATTTTTTGAAGACACTCTCGTCTAAATCGACATATAAGATTCTTGGGTCTGTCAGCAAAGGCCACATGCCGTTTATGCAGAGAGCATGAGGAAACCCCAGTGCATATTCTCCTGTGTCACTGTGAAGGCCTGGCAAGGCTACGGTTTCACATAGTAGGAACTGCAGGTCGAACACCGGAAAGCTACATGCAAGGCCCTGTGTCAAGGCCATGGAGTCTGATTAAATGATCCAGGTTGGATATAGTGCTTTCGAAAGTATACATGGTGTACCAGAAGTCGACGTCAAGCCGAAACCGGGTGATAGACAAAGTCATAACAGCTATCAGAAAAATATTTAAAAAAAAATTATGTATGTGTTTTGAAAATTATAGGTCTTTGAAAAAGATATAGAAATTTCACACCCTACGGTAGTCTGTCAACTCCTGTTACTACAAAAATTAACTTTTTTTGGATTTTATTTTTACAATGTAATGATGAATAATGCATCTTCAAACTGGTGTCTCAACCTTACTGCCAACTTTTCTCGTTCAGGAAAAATTGCCACTTATTTCCCAACCAAGTATTCCAAAGTAAAACTTTGCTCAACTTTAACTGGCTGTACTGGAAAAAAATGTACTACGAGAGTTTGGCAAGTAACCTTAAAAGTTGGCGCATTTAATAAGGATTCCAAAATGGTATAACACTTAGAAGATTACTTGTTAACTTCTAAACAATTTTTATTTGAAGAAAAACTGATGAAATTTTTAAAAATTTCCTAATTAAACAGCGATTATTTAAACGCACAAGGACCCTTAAGGATAACTGTTTGCACAACAGTGGGCGTCAAAATGCTGCTGATGATGATTTATCTTTACAGCAAATGCTCAAACTGTTTTCCTTCAGCCGCAATACACGCTCGACATCTTCTTAAAAAAGATCGGGTTATTAAACGAGCGAATCCACGGTTATTAACAAACTCAGCTGCTTCCAATAGTCTTTGCCGTAGCTCAGCTACATTTTGAATCGGCTTGAAATACACTTTTTCTTTTACCCCATACCACGTACAGCGTGTTCAAGCTCTTCTGCCCCGGGATAATGAGCCCCGAGTTGCTTTTTGTCGCACAATGTTAGAAAGACACAGGGAAGATCCACGGTTTTTTGAAAAAATTTTATGGTCAGATGAGACCACATTTAAGAAAGATGGGTACATGAACCTGCATAACTTACACGAGTGGCACGTAGCAAACCCACATTTGATGAGAGAAGATAAATCTCAATATCGCTTCAAGATAAACCATTGGACAGGAATTTTAAATGGTAAAATAATCGGTCCGTTTGAGTTCCCAGAGACTTTGACTGCTGAGGTTTTTGCAAAATCATTTAGAATATTTATTGGTGGACGTGCCACTGAGTATTTACAGGGACATGTGGTTTCAGCATGATGGCTGCCAAGCGCACTATGCACTCTCAGTGAGAGAGTATCTCGATCAAAACTTTCCAGGCAGATGGATAGGGCGGTCTGGTACAATACCGTGGCCAGCCCGGTCACCAGATTTGAATCCGTTAGATTTTTTTTACTGGGGAACTGTAAAAGAAAAAGTGTATTTCAAGCCGATTCAAAATGTAGCTGAGCTACGGCAAAGACTATTGGAAGCAGCTGAGTTTGTTAATAACCGTGGATTCGCTCGTTTAATAACCCGATCTTTTTTAAGAAGATGTCGAGCGTGTATTGCGGCTGAAGGAAAACAGTTTGAGCATTTGCTGTAAAGGTAAATCATCATCAGCAGCATTTTGACGCCCACTGTTGTGCAAACAGTTATCCTTAAGGGTCCTTGTGCGTTTTCATAATCGCTGTTTAATTAGGAAATTTTTAAAAATTTTCATCAGTTTTTCTTCAAATAAAAATTGTGCATAAGTTAACGAGTAATCTTCTAAGTGTTATACCATTTTGGAATCCTTATTAAATGCGCCAACTTTTAAGGTTACTTGCCAAACTCTCGTAGTACATTTTTTCCAGTACAGCCAGTTAAAGTTGAGCAAAGTTTTACTTTGGAATACTTGGTTGGGAAATAAGTGGCAATTTTTCCTGAACGAGAAAAGTTGGCAGTAAGGTTGAGACACCAGTTTGAAAATGCATTATTCATCATTACATTGTAAGAATAAAATTAAAAAAAAGTTAATATTTGTAGTAACAGGAGTTGGCAGACTATCGTAGGGTATGAAATTTCTATATTATTTTCAAAGACCTATAATTTTCAAAACACATACATAAAATTTTTTTAAATATTTTTCTAATAGCTGTTATGACTTTGCCTATCACCCGGTTTCGGCTTGACGTCGACTTCTGGGACACCCTGTATATGGGGGCCACTTGGATCGCAGTGACGTTAAGACTGGCAAGCCAACCAACCCCTTTCTTCTGTAATCTGCAGCGTAAAGGTGGCAGTTGAAAATTTCAAGGTGGCGGCTATCAAAATTGACCAATTTTGTACATTGAATCGCTTATAGCTCGACAATCGTTAAAACGTTATATGTTATATCAATCTTTTTCTCTTGGAGGAGTTTATCAAAACGTGTGATGAAAAGGGAACATTTCACCTACAAAATATGTCTGGATCATCAGTTTTTTTATAATTTAATGGCACATTCAGATAGACCCTCCCAAACGAAGTAAATTAATACGATACACTATAGCGCTTTGAAGATTAGTTGTTGAGCCATAAGCGATTCAATGTACAAAAACGCTCACTTTTCACAGCCCTCCAGTTTGCGATTTTGAGTGGCTTTAAATTCATATTATAACATAGTCATAGGAGCTTCAGCAAAAGTATTGTATGCTGTTGGTATTTGGAATTAAGTGCAAAGAGCAGAGGTCTTATGGCTACATATCATTCGTACATCAAGGGTTTTGTAGTCTGTATGTATTTGACGAGAATGCATGCAATGTATGTGAATGCAGGAAAAGCAGCGAATTAAATATTCGTGTCACCATGTTTTTCGACATACATAAATGACTAACCGACTGATCGACAGCAGTCCCCATCTATTTGTATACCAATAGAGTTTGTTTCGTCACTCCATAATGTCGCGTTTGAGGTCAACCCACTGGTTAGTACGACCGCTCCTTCATTCCTAGGGTATCATGAATATGGAACAGTATTTCAAAAGAGGCTTTCCTCTGTTACGAATGCGTAGAGATCGAATCAGTTAGCAACTTACCAAAATAAGACAGCACAAAGTGCCATCTATTATCAGAATCGACCACCCTTCAAGAGTGAAAACAGCAAGCTTTTTGTTGGAACTGTTTCCCAGTTTACATTGTCAGCCGGGTCACCACTGTGGCCTCTAGATGTTGCAGAATCTGGTGCCATAGTAGATACGGTCCAGTCTCCATGAAACAAGCACTTTTTTTCTTTTTTTTATACTGAAGCAGCCGCGTAGGCAGAAGCCTAAATGCCAGGACACCGCGACTGCTATGAGGATCCCAAAGACATTTTGTTAATCTGATTTTTGAACTGCTCAAGGTTAGAATGGGGAAGAGCGTTCACCTGTAGATTGATCCACAATCCCGACACCCTCGGGACAAACTAGCGATCATATAGGCCATTTTTGGATGTCAGGCGGGTCTGTCTGTAGAAGAGAGCTAGATCGTCTACGGCCCGCCGGTGTGAAAGGGTCCCGATGCTGTCATCGATCAGTTGGACATCCCTCCTCGAGGCTAGGGATTATCTGGGCCTTGTATAGAGTGAGGACGTCATGCGGAGAAAAGGTTGTTATATTTGTTTCTAGAGTCGACGTTGGCTCGTTGTTGTTCTCTACAGTGGGGTTTTGTAAGAAGGTTATGTGTGCCTTGATCTTCTGCTAGCGAGCAGTGTCACACGATTTGTTAAACCAGCCGTTGGACCCTGGTTTAGGCACTTTCACTGTATGGGGAATGTATTACTCCATCCCGACATGGATAATTTCCGTTATCGAAGAACAGACAGCCGACACATCCGCTTCAGTGAAACAAACATCACTCTAAGGAAAGGTAGAGAAGAAGTCGTTGATCCCCTACCAGTCGGCATGTCCGTAATGCCATATTTTGCGTCCTGGGCAAGTTTCTCCTGCCACAGCAGGTTCTGACCGAAACCTAACCTCCACCACTTCGTGGTCTAAGTTATCCAGGGGGACAGGACAGCAGTGTTGTAAGGGACAGGATGCGTGGTCAGAAACAGATCCACCAGGCTACTGGCATGTCACGAGACGCGGGAGAAAAAGTAGGGCTCGTCACCAGCTGGGTCAGCCGTTGAGTAAGAGCGAACGCTTCAACTGAACGACCTGCTGCATGGTTGAGCTCAACCAAAGCTCATTATGGGCATTGAAATCGAGGCATACAGGGTGTCCAATATGTACCACGACAAACTTAAGGAGAAGGGTGGCTTTGGACTGACCTCCCAGATAACAAACACTGTCACCGTTTTTGAGATATTGATTTTTTTCTTAAATTTAAAAAAAAACGAAACTTTTCATCTGTGGTCTTTAGCTGCATGTACAAATAAGTATACAGGGTGTCCGCAAAGTTGGGGTTTTCCTTTACACGACGTGTAGAGCTTGAAAACATAAGCAATTTTTCTTAGTCCCATATACACCAATGTCTTAAGCGAACCGAGATAAAGGGCTCTGTAGGATAGATAGATAGATAGAGATAGATAGTTTATTGTCCTATTGGATCATGTTACATGATATAAGACTTGTCAATATCAATTTGAGGGTCATATATGCGTTTGAGCAAATATGCCAGAAAAATACTTATAATTATAAAATAAATAAGGACATTACAATTACAAAACATTTTAAAAGTTTAAATCACATTATAGGTACAGGTACAGTGCAAGAATCGTAATGTGTTCAATCTGTAACGGTAAAAATATATACATA